CGCCGCGCGGGAAGCGGCGATCGAAGCTGTGCAATTAAAGGGAGGAAGTCGGGTTAGATACAAGATCTTCTCCGGGAGCTGGAAATTGCCTTCTCTTTCTGCTGGGCTTGTGGATGCTGCAGGCTGGTTCCCGATGCGGGGGAGATCAATAAAAGCATTGCACTCAAGGAGCCAGCAGCGTGTCGGGGGCGGGGGGAGGCACCTTTGCTCGCATCTCACCCTTTGGGTTTTTTCATCTTTGGAAAAACAAACAGACAAACAACCCCCCCCCCAAAATAAAACAAAAAACCCCCAACAACAACAAACTTTCTTGGTAGGGTATGCTCATTGCTCCAGCCGGGTTGTGTAGGATTTGCTTCCCTAGACGCTCAAGGGGCGAGCAAGTCCGGTGCTATGATCTATTCACTGCACTGCGGAGTAGATGGGGCGGATTCTGAGTGGCTGAACGCGGTGTAAATCCGGAGCCTTTCCTCCCAAGTGCATGCTGTTTCGCCGGTGTCATTTAGATAAGGGCCGCTGTTCCGGAAGGAGGAAGAAGATTGCACTAAGTAGAGAGCTCTGACATGCTATTTTCATTAGATTTTGTAACTGAGCTGCTAATGTGGAATTATGAAATGTGTCTGTGGCAAGGACTCAGCCTCTCTGCAGTCTGCAAGACTGTCGTTTCTGGAAGACTAGCTTTAGCGCGAATGTTTTGGAGCTCTCTGTGTTTAGAGCAAACAATGACATCTTGCAAACAATTTCTTGCCTAACACCATAAAACCTGTTCAAACGAAAGAACAGATCCCCCCTTTCCTCAAGTTTCAGCAAATTCAGAATCAAGATAGCAACATTTATCATTAAGGGTCCATTTCTGGGGGATCTTGGCACGACTGTTTTCCTTTCTCATGGGTAAAGCTTGCTGTTTATTTTGATCTGTCACAAATACAAGGTGTTGTTTGAAATGTGTTAAACTTAGCAGGTATATAGAGATAATGGGAGACGGGTCACTGGGCATGATAAAGTAAAATATGGTGGGAATTAACTTGAAACGTTTATGAATGTTTTTACTTCAGCCCATAAATTAACCTCCTTAAAAAAGATACCATGCCATGTATATGATCTTAAAAAATGACACTTAAAATTAGCCAATGTTTGGAGTCTAAACATTTTATCCAAACACTAATATATTTGGGGATAAAACTATGGAAATTCAGGGCCTATGAAAATAAATTGGACTACTCCTATGAGTAAGAGCTTGCAGAATTAGGCCTTTTCTATATCAGCTGATATATAACTTCCAGTTCCCAATAAAGTCAGTGGAAGGTTTACCATTTGCTTCTATCTAAGCATGAACATAGAGCATTTGATCATATTGGGGTGTAATTCTAATCCAGCAGAAATCAGCAACAATGTTCCTATGGACTTTAATAGGTATAAAATCCATTCCTTCATTTCATGGAAAAACATTTTTCCAGTTATATTTTGTATTTTTGTATTCAATATATATTTTACCCGATACTGTTACATAGAACCTACCAACCAAAACAGCTAACCCATCAATACAATGCTAGTTTGTATAGTAATGAGAAATATAAGCCAATCTACCTTCAGACCTGAGGAGACAAACCTGTGCTGGAACACCACAAGTACTCACTTTCTCATTTGTAGCTCCCCAGCAGAGACAATTGTAGGAATCCCTGTTTCACTGGCTAGCAGAGAAATCAGCATGCTCGGTTCAAATTGCCTACCTGGACATTACTTTACAGATAACTATTCTTAGCAGAACTTTAAAGCATTCAGCCAACATAGTTCCCAAGTTTGAATTTAAATGCAGTTCTTCATTGCAATATGAAGTGAATGAGGTTTAGCAGTTAGGCCTTAGCTTAACAGTCATGGAATTATCCTGGTTTTATTAGGAACATAATCCAATGGGATTCTGAGTATACAAGAACTGCAGGATCCAGTCCAATATACATCAACTGAAGAGCCTTTTACTCTGCTCACATCTCTCAGCAAGAGCTGAAATCACTAACGCACTTTTAAGAGTTATTTCTCTTGCATAAGTAGGCTTTTTTTCCGGGATTAGATGCCCTTTTCCAGTGAAGTCAACAGGAATTTTACTGATGAATTCAAAGTGATCAGGGCTGAACCTTTAGGAGCTGAGGCCATGAACAGTTGTATCTGTCTTGTTTAAAGAAGCATTTCAGGACAGCTTTCATTTTTGGAGGTCCTTGGGTTGCTGTTTAAGGTAATGGGGCAGGAAAAAAAGAAAACAGTATCTCATAAAAGGAGCATATTCAAACTGGTTGTTATACTCCATTTTTTTAAAACCACTGTTTAGTAAATCTCTATTTATGAACTTTATATGGGCAATTCTCTGAACTAATTAACCTAACTGGCAAAAAGACACCCAAAAATGAGTCCCAAGGACTTTAAGTAGAATTACGCCTCTTTGGCCCATTGACTTTAATTAGTTTTCAAGTTAAATAAAGTCAAATATCTCTTCATATTAAAATTGGTAGTGCTGAAAGCATTTGGACTATGTCTGGCACTGATCATATGTCAAAACTGTTTTGGGGTACCACAAAATGAAGTACTAGCTAATCAAATCTTAGACAGAAATCTGTCACCAAAGGCCTCAGCTCAGCAGTTTGTAGCCTTTTCAAGATGGGTGACATCCAATGAAAACATTAGATTAAAAAAAAATTCAATTCCTCAGTTTCTTTCGCCCTAAAACTTGTATAAAACACAAAAAATGAAGCTACATTTGAAAAGCAATTAATCTACTAAATGTGGACAATGCTTTTATAAATATCACATGGTAACATCTAAGTTTTGTCTAACAACAGTTTTCCAGTAAATACTTTGTCTATACAAAACATTTTTTGCATTTGAATCACCAGC